GAAGTGAAATGCATCCCAAAACGAGCAGGGTTACGAAAGCTGATTGCAAGCCTGAACTGTGCTGCTTTGAGGCATGTGTATGGCGAGCTGAACGTGCAGATTCAGAAACCATGATCCAAGGTGCTGCATTCATCTCTCATTTAGCTATATTTTAAAATATCACATTGCAGGGAGAGGAGGTAGGAATCTGCTTATTATTATTTTGGTCATCCTTGTGCTGAACAAAATTTGATAAAGAAAACTAATTAGCAAGACTGGGGAGAGCGTGAAAAAGCACCTGGATAGTCAACGATTTAAAATTAGATACACGTAATTAAAGGCAATTCTAAGCCGTATTATTCCTATAGTTTGCTTGTATTTAAGGTCTTTTGCATTAGTGCTCCAAGGGAATCTGAAAAGCTCCATTCACCAAAGTAGTCTGAACTTTAGTTTTAATTAAGGCCTGATATTTCACTGAAAAGGAAAAAAAAAAGAACCCAGTGTTATAAATTCTTAAGCTGAATTACACAACCCTATGGTAGATCATTCAGGCTGCAAGAAAAACAGGTACTTCTAGCTAAAGAGACTGGTTTACCTTACAATGTTATAATTTTCCAGTTCATGGAGAGCTTACTTTGCTGGAAGCATCTCTCAGGATGTATTATGTCCAGAATACTCCCAGCTCCTTGTTTCCTCTTGCTGCTTCCCTATGCTTTTTCTCTTACTCTTTCATGTGTGCAGGCACCCACTCATACTCCCGTATTTCATGCCCTCATCCCACCCCATATGCTGCTCCTTTCCCTTGCTTATGAAAATCCAGAGTCTTTCATGCCACTGCTCAGAGTTCATCACACTGAACTTACATTTCCTGGTCACATCTCTTGTGTATGATGTGTTCTCTCATCATCTTTTTCTGCCTTTTCTTCTCTCCTGAACCCACCCTGTAGTCCCTTTTCCCACATGTGTGTGTGTTGGGGGGGTTTGCTGCCCCAGAGCAGTCCAGGCTCTGCCAGCTGGTAAATGGGGGTGAAGGAGAGAGGAATGGAGGGGGCAGCCTGAGGGTCTTCTCCTGCCAGCCCCACAAGCCTGACAAATACCCTGCACTGGAACCAGCCTTGAGTTTAGATTAAACAATGCCTGAAAGTTCCCGGGAATCACAGCTACTGTGGGATGAAGTCCTCTTACATGAGCAGCCCCGGGAATATACAGGGACAGAAGCTCAGCTGGAAAAGGAATAAAGGTGTATCCTGAGAGTCAGAAACTCCACAGGCTGGATCTCCTTCCTGCCTTTCTCACAGCACATTCCTCTGTGAGGTGCAGTGGGGCCTCCCAAGGCATTGCTCCTCCCCTGAGGACCTTCTGGCCCAGAAGTTGCTCTGAACCTGGGGTTTCCATTAGTCTCCCATTCAGGGTGCCACCCCATCCTAAGCTTGTACCCCCTTGGGCTAGGGCAGCGGGGGAGTGGGGTGGAGTATGTTAATTTCTCATCTCCCCCAAAATTCTTCTTGAGATCTTTTTCCACAAGGCAAAGATGCACATGCCACAAGCTGCAGCAATTCCTCTCCACTCGCCACAGCATGTAAGAGCATGTCCCGTACTAACAGCACAGGTGAGCTAACTGATGTTCCAAAGAAGTTAAAAGGAGCCTCATGCTCACTAAACACTGTGATTTTATTGTGCTGTGTATGGCTGTGTCATCTTGTGGTCTCGTTAGTGAGAAAGCAAGGGGTGTGACTTGCCTTCTGCTCCCCTTCTTGCCACATGTTGCCTCCTGCAAAACTTGTGACCAGCTGTTAAAAATAAGCAAGTCCTCGGAGGGGGGAAGTACAGCCTGCTCTTTTGCTAAAGTATGTGGAACAAAGCAAAGGCTCATTCATGCCACCTCATATGCTCAGTGAGTATCCCTGGATCCAGGAACACCAGACTTTTGGGGGCTTTCACTTCAGGCATGGGCACACACTCATTTTGTACAGTTTATGTGACCACATTAGAAACTCTGCAATGTCAGTCTCCCATACGAGTCCTCTGGGGTACAAGGGACTGAACAGTGAGTTGTAAATGCAAGGTGACAATATCTGTTAAGTAATTAAGCAGCACTACCAGAGTCTATATCTTCTAATAAAATTATCCATTTTTTGCTCTTGGATATAAACCTGCTTTCCATTTCAATTTTTTTTTTAACTACAGTGTAATAAGAATTTAAAATAAAGCATGTCTGATTGCACTTGGGTTTTGTGTTCTGTATTTTGATCAATCACTTGTACGTAGTAGCACTATAGGCACCACTTGCTGCACCTTAATTGTAAAAGCTAAGAAATTAGCTTCTGAGCCATGATAATAAAGGTACCCTTTTTAGGTGCTAAGGAGAAAACACTATCTTTATTTAAACGAACAAACAAAATTACACGCTCAGTTTAAATATTTGCCTTTGGTTTTCCTTCTGGTTTAGCAACTGACTACCTAATGCATTGGAGAAGGTGACAATTTCCAGAGCACATCGCAGTGTCAGCAAAGAGAACCCCCAGATTCCCCTGGAAATTGCTTTAATGTGTCAGAGCCCATTAAGTGGCCAGTATGCTCCTAACAAAACCTTACCTACATTGCACTTCTAAAGTGTGCTTCTCTCAGCTAAATATTTCAAGGCATTTTACTGACAGTCATTAAGCTGAACGATGTTCACCAGGAGACACAAGTATTTTTATTGATAGTTTATAGAGGGGTATACTGAAGCAAAGAGAAGTGATAACTGGGAATAGGGGCCAGGGATGTCAACAGCCCTTGGCATCACCAGCATTCTCGCTCTGTGCAGAGTTGCTCACAAAGACCTAAGGAAAAAATGAGGATGGTCTCTAGGATTTCAGCCACTCATCACACTGTGGATGGGCTGTCACATGAATCATGGGTAAAATCTGACTGAAGAAGCAGTGAGTGCTATGATAGCACTATGTGTGTGCATAGGAAATTCAATCAATAATAAGCAATTTTGGCAACCCCAGATCTGGAGAATCTTTGAACCTGAAAAGAGCTGGTGTTCAAACTCTTCAGCTGAGGATCTCTTTTCAGTAGGGTGAACTGGTGTCCTCAACCCAACCATCAAATCTCAGAGATGGACTGGGGAGGAAAAAGTCCAAAACCAAACCCCTGCCTCCACAGATCCCACACTCCAGCAGCTCAGAGAAGCCGAGTATGAACAGCAGTCTTAAAGCACACCTCATTTGTTATCAACTTGTTACATCCAAGCTACAGAGCAGGTTGCTTCAATTCCCGTCAATTTGTCACACTCAAAATCTTGTTATGATCAAAAGGAAACACACCTTACAGGCAGACCTAGGAGGGATATATTGCTGGTCTTGTTAAAAATAGTCTAATAGAAGAATTATTATTAGCTGAGATAATTAAGAAGGAATTATGTTCTTGTATTTTCATTACAGTGATACTAATGTTTATAGTCCAAATAATATCAGGTAAGACTGACACACAAACTTTCTAGCATGCTTCCGTTTCTCTGCTTTTATATGCACCACCACGCTGCCCATCTGACGTCGTCAGTCTCGGGCAGGGGCATGTGTAGCAGCAAGTCATCAGTGTCCCAGGTCCTCCATCAAGCAGAGTCTGACATTAGAGAAGAGCATTTCTCTTCTTCTTTGCTGGGATAAGCACAACTGAAAATTTCTTCCTTCTCACCCTAGGATCCACCACAGGTCATTTTTACGTGATTACTGATACTCTCCGCATTTTGTTTTTTCTTCATTGTTTCACAACTTCTCCGTAGATCCAAATTTGCTATATGTGATGCATTTTACATGTGTTGGGTACTTGCTGTTTGTTCTCCTTTGTTACATCTAAAATTTGTCTTACCTACCTGCTAACGTTGCACCCTTTGGTGACCAGTAATTAACCACTGGTGAGCTATATGTAGCCTAAGGCCTCCAACATCACCCTACACCCATACTGCCAGGAGCCCTGTTATCATCCTGTGTTAGTGAACCTTTATGCTGCCCTTTATTTTGGGGTCATAAATAGTTCATTCTACACTAAACAACTACCTGCTATTACTGTCTACTAGTTACAAAAAGTTCATATAACAACAAACATTTCACCATGCAATTGGACAAAGCAAAGCAAAAGCTAAAACAAAGCCAGTAGTAGATATCAGGTCATTAGATAATGGCTCTTACAGCTAAACAAAGCATAGAAAAATCTTGACAAGTCCTGATGCCTGTGCTGCTAGCTTATCACCAAGCTGTGACCTTTCACAAGCAATGGCAACATCTTATTTGTGGAATGAAATCAGAGAAGGTAACTGAGCATTGGCTTTTCTAGTGCCTAGTACTACCAGCGATAATTGGTTTGAACTGGAACTAATCAATAAATGCTCTGCCAAATGGGTGACACCCCTAGCCCCACTGTTTTCTCCTGCTAAGGACTTATATACTGTCCTTTCCTCAGCATATTGTTTTCATGTTAGTTCTTATTTTCCCTGAGGAGGAGGTGGAGGCTGCTGGTGTAATAGATGAAGATGACCAGGTCAGAGGGGGTGGGAAAAGTGTCTGAGGTTATTCAAACCAAAATTAATGGCTCCATTATGAAAGAGGAAAGTCAAAGTATACTGTGACTGTTGATGGAAGGAGAGGGACTGTTGTATGTGTTGGAGCTGGCATGATAGCTGGTACTGAGTAGGGATGTGATATGTACATTAGAGAAATGTATATTGGACTAGCACCTGTAATGGAAGACAATGCCTGAGAGAAGCTAGGAGGTTTTGACATGCAGGTGAGAGGGATTTACTCAATGCTTAAAGGCAAAATCAAAAAGGCTGAGTTGAATACTGAAGACAGAAAACAGAGACTGCATGTTAAAGAGCAAAAACATAGCCAAAACGATGCAAAGGAAAGATTGCTGGGGGGGGGGGGGGGG